ATTCACTTTTGCCTTTCACCCTGCAAAAGGGCACCTTCTAAGTAGCATCTTTACGGTGCCCCATTAAGCTGTCACCTTTCAGAAAATTCTCTTGTTCTAGGTCATTGTAAGTGGGATTGCATGAAATAGGTCATCAAGCATACTCACTCAACCAGTAGTGAATGGTTCAAGCCGCATCTAACCTAGGTAAGGGTAATGTTCGAAATTATGACAATTTGGATCTTATTGAAAAACTATCTGAATGCAAGTCCATCTTTCATGCCTTAAGGATGGCACAGGAAGGTCGAGGGCAGTGGCCTGCACTCTATTCCTAAGGAGAAGGTCTCTAAGTCTCTTCTTTTCACTGGAGACACTATTTTAACTACACTAGTGTTTAAAAGATTTAAGATTGCTGCCCTGGCCGGTTTGGCTCAGCGGTTAGAGCGTCGGCCTGCGGTCCTGAGAGACCCGGGTTCGGTTCCCGCTAAGGGCACGTACCTCGGTTGCAGTTTGTCCCCGGCTCTGGTCAGTCGTGCGGGTGGCAGCCACTCGATGTGTTCCTTTAACATCGATGTTTCTCTCTCTCTCTCTGTTCCTCTCTCCCCCTCCTACTCTACCTGAACAAAACCTGGGAAAATGTCCTCGGGTGAGGATAAAAAAAAAAAAAAGAAAAAAAAAAAAAAAAAGATTTAAGATTGCTGTTGTTTGGGAAAAATGTTTTCTTCCTCCTTTCAGAAACACCTTAGGGGCGAGAGTCAACAGAGTGATGCTTTCTTTCACAGCATGTGGTTGCTGCTGCACCGGCTTCCCAGCCAGGCACTGCTCCCCAGTGCCAACCACACGCCAACTCCACTCCCATCCTATTGGCCAACGCCAGTCACGTGACCACAGACACCTCCGTGGGCCAGTTCCAAACCAGAGACGTGATGTGTGTCTCCCCCAAGCTGTGTGTGCTTTCTCCCAGCATCTTCACCTCCAGCAGCGAGTCTGGGATCATCTGCCGAAGACGGCTGCACTGTAAGATGGGAAGAGCCAGAACCCCTAAGTCAGTACTCAGGGGAGAGTTACCTAAGCAGGAAGAGATATCTATACTGAATGTTGCCTGAGAGGAAATAAAATGCTGTTATAGCACTGTGTTTTAGGAGATTTTGTTAGAGCGGTTCACCTACTCTAACCAAATGGCAGACACTGAACAAGTATAATGTAAATATTCTCAGGATCCAGGATCATCTGGGAAAATGGAAGAGAAGCACAAGAAAGAAAAAAAGCACAGACAGAGAATCAGAAAAACCCGGAGGGGAGGAATGAGTTCATTTCCTGGGTCAACCCCTCGGAAGTATTGCTCTTAGAAAAATCGTTCCTGGGTCTGAAGCATTGCAGACTAAGGTGGACAGCTTGGCTATCCCTACAATGATCATTTTGCTAAAAATATAGTCAGAAAAATATTACAGATAATCTTGCCCTGTTGAAAATCAGCAACCCAGCATGCTAAGGTGGCTATGTAGCATTTTTAATACACTACAATATTTCATCTGGGAGAGAACCTGGTGAAAAGGATTGGGCTGAAGGAACCCAGAGAAACATTCAACGGGAAAGGATAAGGTAGGAAAACACGGAAAACACTGAAGATTCAAAGAAAGAGAATCAGAAAAGTTATAAAGTGGTTTCAAAAAAGGAGTAGAAGTTTATGGATTTCAGGATAACTGTTCAAGACCTAGAAATTAGAGATGGTAGAGGAAATACTTTAAAGACTTAAGAAGGGTATGTATGCACTCATTAGTTTATTCAACAAATATTTACTGAGCAACTACTATGTGCTCAGTCTGTGACAGGCGCCAAGGATAGAAGAACCATGAACAAGCTTTATGGAGTTAATAGTTTTCTTAAAGAGAGAATACAGAAAGAAAAAAAAAATTTTTTTTTAGGAGAGAATACTAAATTGTGACATAGTATCCTATTCCACTATTCATCAGAATGGCAATTGTTTTTCTTTGCTTCAAAACTAGTGAAGGCCAGTGGAGAAAAGGTGCACCGTCTCTCCCACCACAAGGCTTGTCTTCCTAAATTCTATTTATCAACCTGAGAAGGACACATTGGCTGAAGAAAGAGAAAATTCAAATACTTCAACAGACCATGACCAAAATAGAGCTAAATAATTATTTCTAAGAAAATGAAATTACTTTTTATCACCACACACTGAATAGCTTTCCTGATTGTTCCCTGTAAGTCTGTAATAGCACTGGTCACAGAACACACAATTCCTGATAATAGACAATACAACTGAAAAAATTAGTCTCCTGTGTGCAAAATAACGTTCGCCACAATGGACAATTCGTGCTTGCTCTCTCTGGACCTCTGCTGAACAGAATACCGGTGCAGGCTAATTATACGAGCTAGCTGAAAATTGTGTGTGTACTGAAAAGGCATCCCCCTAAAGAATAGCAGAGAAAAGGTCTTAGCACCAAATACAAGGCGACAGAAAAAAAGCAAGACAGCAAACATGAGACCGTGTGCACAGGCATTCTCATTAGCAGACTGCAGTCGACGATGTTTGTGGATGCGCTTAAAGGAGTTGTAAAGTTCTCTGCCTCAAGAAAAGAGGACCTCCCAGGATGCAGGAATGCTCCCCAATGCTGACTCAAGGGCTCTGCTTCAATGCACAGCCATGGATCAGCCTCCCGTTGAGGACTTTTGTCACTTGAGGTGCAAAAATAGTTCCTATCAGAAAGAGAGTTGAAGAGTCAAAGGCAGCTTGCACACACGGATTCACATGTTGGGCAAGGAGCACCACTGGCTTGCACAGGAGATGCTAGAGCGAGGCCCAGTTTTTCCACGTTCACTCTTCATGGCACGTGGTGGCATTTATGTGCAAGAAGCTGAGAATGCGAGTCCCTCAGAAAAAGTTTCAGGAAGAGCCTAACAGACGACAAACAAATTACTCCAACATGGTCAGAACAGATGTGCAGCACCGTCTATAATGCATGAGCTACTTTAAGTCCACCCCCAAATCCCGTGCATTTATTGTTCCAGAAGAGAAGCATTGGCAAGTGTTCATTCGAGCCCATCTGCTCCAAGCAGAGTCCTGGCAGGAAGGATGGCTTAAAGAAGGGATGTTTCCTAAAGGCCTGGGCCAAATGTAGGGAAATCCAAGAACAGTACCAGAGGGCTATTTACCGCTTCGCCCTAAGCTGAAGATTCAGGGGAGGGAGGGAGGGGGAAGGCATAAAGGAGGGAAAGGACAAAGAGGGGAGAAGAGTCCTAAAGAAAGGCCTTCATTCAGGGTGCAGTACCATCCTTCAGTCAGGGGTGTGACTGACCTGGAGCAACACCACAAGAAGAAACCTTCTTCCCTTCTTCCCGTTCTCTCATTAATTTCTAGTGCTCCTCTCTGGGTCACATCTAGAGGAAACCAGGTGACAAAGGAGCCTACAGATGAAGTGCTTGTAGGTTGCCCTCCCAGAGCGAAGAACGACCCAGACTAACTGTGGCGAAGAGAAAGGTGGATCCGGTATGGCAAATGGAAGGTTCTTCGCACAGTCGATTTCTCTGGGAAGCTTAGGGCCCCTCAGTTGGAATTTAAAGAAAAAGAGAACAAAAATTGTAAACCTTTTGTAGTAAACTGAGCTAACATACAGGATTGGATTGTTAAACCAGACTAACTCAAATCAGAGATCTCAACCAGTAGCAGACTTTCCTACTAATTTCAAGGATCCAGTCAGCCAAGAGTCTCCGCAGACCGAGCAGAGAGGAGCCTGCGGCACAGGGGTACCCTCACTGGTCCTGTCTCCTTGCCCTGGGCTTAGAATAGCAGGTGAGGTCTCAGAATGAGGTCCATGAGGTTCCTTACACAGCAGGAACATTTAAACTACGGAACGTTTCCCTTTATACCAGAGACTCGGACGGCTTAGGAGCCATTCTCCAGGGAGACCTGCCTCATAAAGCCCGGGTTCCATTTACTGTACATAATACTTTAGCCAGGGTACAGCAAATACCATGGGTCTATAACCCAGAGGTGCAGTTAAAAAGAGATTAGACCAGGTTGCCTACCTTGGTCTCTCCACCCCCCCCACACACACACACACACAACCTCCCACACCCCCAGGGAAGGGAGTGGATGATTTTGGGCATCTTTTTAAATTCCTTCCTCCCACAAACACAATGTTTAAAATTAAAAGAAGAAGAAGTGGGGGGGGGGCAAAGGGGGAAGAGAGGGAGAGGGAGGGAGGGAGGAAGGGAGGAAGGGAGAGAGGTAATTTTAGGAAGAGAAAGAGAAAATATATAAAAATATGGAGGAGGGAAGGTCACTGGGTGTCCCTCGCATGAGGAAATGTGCTGTACCTCTTACCTTGAACAATCTCCCCACGTTGTCAGCAAGCCCAAGGTGAGACGCAACTGCGATGCGCTTTGGGGGAGAGTACAGGTGTAACCACATGCCCCACCCAGAAGGCGCCTTCTTGCGCAGACTCTCAGCCTCTACTCAGTCCTGATACGAGCAGCGCAGGGCCTCTGCCCTCAGGCTCCTAGGCCACCAGTGGCTCTTCTGTGCCTGAAGCGCTGTAGCTTTTCCATCTCTTTTTCCCCAGTTTGGAGAGGATGGTGTCATGAACTCCCTGAGCATACAGCATTGCAAGCAGGTGTCGGGAGGTAGGGAGTGAGCCACAGCTGGGACTTGGGGTAAATCTGCTCACCTCTGGGATTGTAAGCAATTTAATACAAGTGTGCATTTTTTAAAAAAAAATGGGTCCAGAATGTTTATAGGATTCTCAAAAAGATTGAAGGCCTATAACAGTTTAGCCAGCAAAACCACACATAGTTCTTAGTGAATATGGACCCAGGGACAGATGAGCAGCGTCCCCACCAGCAGGGTCTGATCCTGGGCCACGCCGTTCGGCCCTGGTCCATCCTCCTTACCCACTGGAGCACCCAAGCTCAAGGCCAAGCCTGAGCCGAACGTAGTCTCACCTTCCAGATGTTTTCAAAGATGCTATAAAATATTTTGAATATAAAAGAGTAGAACTTACCTTTTTGTCTTGTTCAATAGTGCCTCAAAGCCATTTTGCAGACTCGTGCATCTCTCTGTCAGTTGGAGCGACTTTTCACTCAGATAGGTGCTGTTTCATGAGAGAGATTTTAAAGGAAGATTGGTTTAAAATGAACACTTACAAGATGTTGTTAACAGAAATCAGATTTAATTGCTAAAGTGTGTTCAAATGAAGTCTGGTTTTTATTCCATTATTGGATGTCTCCATGGAAAAGGAAATTGATATTTTCACTTCTGATGGGTCTAAATTTAACAACAACAACAAAAAACGCACACTACAACGTCAAAAAGAAAAGAACTCCCTGGGGAAGACTTTATATTTTCATATTGTGAGGTTATTATGTACAATGCATGAGTTACTAAATAGTTTTAATCATTGTGTGTGTGAGAGGACTTTATTTTCCCAAGTCGGTGTCTCTGGTGGGAAGCACACAGACACAGGAGGTCAATAGTTCTCTCCTAAAAGGATGCATGGTAAATCTGGTCTCTGATTATTACAGTAGTTATGATAGGAGGCCTGTGGCTGTCACTTTATGCACCTGAAAAATTGGAGCTGGAACAAAACCAAATCAAAAAGCAAGGGGTTATGGGGTCAGGCTGCCCACGGAGCCTGGTGGATGTACTGTAGGCTAGTGAACCACTCTAGGCCTCAGTTTCCATCTCTAGTCCTCCCCTCCTGGTGTTATGGACATGACATGCACAATGACAAAGAAAAGCACTTGGTACTTGGTTCCATGCCTGATACAATAAATGCTCCAAAAAGTATCACAAATCACTTCCCTTAGACTTCAAATCGTGTGTCTAACTCCGACTACTGTCAATACATTTATTTAACCACCCTGAAGGTATCTGCTGAAGACATCTTAACAAGGGCTGGGGGGCCAGGCACAGGATGTGTAGGTCGTGACAGTGGATAAGACAGACACAGTCCCTTTCCCTAGTGGAGCTTGCAGTCTGGTTAGGGAGCAAGATCTATCCAACACAAAACCATGTAAATGAATGTAGTACAGAACTATGAATTGTGATCAGGATCGTTAAAACAGCAGTAGGTGCCACGGAGGAGTGTAATGGGAAGACCCCTGCGCACTGAGGGGCCTCTGAGATCGTGTCATTTAGGTGGTAATCTCAAGGATAATCCAAACGAGCTAGCTGAACTTTGGGGGGAGAGAGAAAGAGAGTGTGTTAGCGGTGGGGGAGGGGCATTCCAGGCAGAGGGAAAGCATGTGCAAAGGCCCTGGAATGGGGAGTGACCCTGAGTGTCTGAGGAACTGAGAGAAGGCAGGTGGGGCTCCCGGCTAAAGGGTGTTTGTAGCGAGAAGGGGCCGGAGTGCACAGGCCTGTGAATTTATCTGAAGGAGGAGGAGCCGCGGAAGGTTGGGGCAGGGAGTGATGTGACCTGCTGTATGCTTTAAGAGGTTCACTGCGGGAAGAAATGAAGTGAGGGGAGGCAGGACTTCAGAAACGGCGGGAGTTAGGAGGCTTCTGCGCGGTTCTCGGAGAGAGCCAGTGGCAACTTAGACTGTGCTGTCATAAAGGCACCCAGCTCACGGTCGCTTTCCGTAACAAAGTGCTGTTTCTTGCTCATGAAATGCCCACTGCACGACGGGCTGGCCCTCTAGGGCACTGAGCTCCATTCGTGCAGTTTAGGGACCCAGACTGCTCCGGTCTTGGGGCACCTTCACCGCCACAGCCTGCTTCCCTACCTGCGGTGGCAGGACGTGCTGGCCGCATACCCCCTGGGTCACATGCCCAACCTGATGGCAAAGTGGGAGGCAGAAGACAGCGACCGTCCTGGGTGCCCAGAAAGAGGGGAGATGGGGATACAGACATGGGCCATGGCACCGCACTGTCCATCACGCCACGCGAAGAGACGCCCACAGATTTAAGATCTATTCTGGAGATAAGACTGACAGGACTTCAAAATAAATTGGATATGGGAGGTGAGGGAGCAGGCGGTGTACGGGGCGAGATATAAACAAGAAAGTTTCATAATTGATTTGCCTACAAACACTGAGCGCAGAGTACATATGGGCTCATAAAACTCCTCTTTATCCTGATAGGATGTCCTCCCCTCCCCCACTGCCGCCCTCTTCCTCCTCCCTCCTTCTGTCTACATGCCTCACCTTCTGTGCTTCCTGAATGTATTACCATACTTTCCAAGGATTTGTTTATTTCTAATTGGCTGTGTGTTTTATTCCGGCAGCGCTGTTAATGAAGCGAATTACCAAGCAGCAGTGCTTTGCATGATGATGGCTTTGCAGTGTGGAACTGCAGAACTGGAACGGGCAGGCAGCACAGCATTTCACGTCCTACAACTTTCCTTAAAGCGGAAAGTATCTCGATTAATAAAAAGTCAGTTTTGGCCCTGGCCGGTTTGGCTCAGCGGTTGGAGCGTCGGCCTGCGGTCCAGAGAGACCCGGGTTCGGTTCCTGCTAAGGGCACGTACCTCAGTTGCAGTTTGTCCCCGGCCCTGGTTGGTCATGCAGGTGGCAGCCACTCGATGTGTCCCTTCACATCGATGTTTCTCTCTCTCTCTCTTCCTCTCTCTCCCTCCTGCTCTATCTGAACAAAAAATGGAAAAATGTCCTCGGGTGAGGATAAAAAAAAAAAAAAAAAAAAAAAAAAAAGTCAGTTTTGAACGGTTTTGCCCAACTAAATCACAGAAGACCCATGGAAGGCAAATGAAGTGTCCGGGGTAAAACGGCTGCGAGAGGAGGAAGTCACAGGGAAAACAGGGTCTTGGGTGTCAGAAGGACCAGCCTTAGCACCTGGGCTCCACTCTCTGACTGTGGTCTTTGAACCTAAGGGTTCCCTTTTTTAAAAATTATTGAATCAATAAAGTAGTTATAGGGATGTTATAGATCGAACGTTTGCATCCCCCTAAATTCAATCGTTGAAATCCCCCAAGATGATGGTATTAGGAGGGGGAGCCTTTGGGGATGATAAGATCAAGAAGGGGAGCCCTCATGAATGGGATTAGTGCCCTTAGAGAATCGGCCTGTGAGGTCAAGTGAAAAGGTGACCATGCGTGAGGAATCAGACCCGCCCCAGACCCCAGGTCTGCAGCTGCCAGGACGAGCGTTTCTCAGCCCCCAGAAGTGTGAGACATAGATGTGTTTTGTTTATAAGCCACCCTGTCTGTAGTCCTCTGTTCCAGGAGCCCAGTGAACTAAGACGAGGGGTTATGCAGGATATGTTTAAAATCACCTGGTATACAGAAGTCACTTAATACATGCTGTGTTCCTAGTCTCCTGAACACATCATTGTATTCTTTCCTCAAACCAGTCATTACCACAGGGGTCAGAAGCTTCTCCCATCCACAGAAAGTCACTTCCTGCCCAGCCTGTTTGGCTCAGCAGTGAGAGCGTCGACCCTTGGACCGAAGGGTTGAGGATTCGATTCCCGGTCACGGGCACACGCCTGGGTTGCAGGTTTGATCCTCAGCCTGGGTTGGGGTCGTGTGGGAGGCAACCAATCAATGTCTCTCTCACGTCAATGTTTCTTTCTCTCTCTCTCCCCTTCCCTTGTACTCTATCTAAAAATCAATGGAAAACTCTCTTGGATAAGGATTAACAAAGAAAAAGAAAAAAAAAAAGTCGATTCCCAGTGAAAGGAACAGAAAGAGAGGCCCCCTGAGTTCCCTTTCCTTTCTGTTTTTCTCCTGTCCCCTTTTCAAAGAGTCTTCACAGTTTTCTTCCTTTTCGCCTATTGACATTAAAACATCCCAAGGCAAATGTTCAAGTACTCATGTGCGGAATCCATAAACTCGAAATGTTTGTCTGCATTAGGCATCTGACAACACAGCCCTTTTCACTGCCCCTCGGACAGATCCCCCAGTTTAGGTTGTTTTCTACAGTGTTTGTGATTCAGTGACAGAATCCTTAGTCAACAGTATGCCGTGTTTTAAAATGCTGAGTACCTAACACGGCAGAGATGTCAGGAGCCCTGGAGAAGGCGGAGGCACGAGATCGTCCAGGGAGAGGGCTCGGTCACCCAACGAGACTGGACAGTCACTCCTCTCCGTGGCGTCAGTAAGTGAGAACTAGACGTTCATTGAATCTGGGGAGAACCACAAGGGGGTCACTTGCTCTTGAAAGAGGAAAAGAAGACATCTTCTCAGTTCTGAGTTAAGAGAGGACATGACCGGTGGACAGGTCCGATTCAATATGCTGGCACCCGCTACGGATAGACATTAGATTGAATCCTCCTCCACTTCTGCTTTGGCGAAATCTCTCAGATAAGTCAAAGAGGACCGAGAACTTGACTGAGATGGAAGTAGGAATTCCAAAGACCTGGAGTCGGAGTAACCTGGTGGAAGAAGGGGTTGCACGAGATGAGTGTGTGCTGAACCATGGCCCCAGGAAGGCTTACTGGGTCGGGTCAGAAAGCCCCATCCCAGAGGACGGATATCGGAGAACTTGGGGTGGTGGAGGACGCCTGCAGCCGGAGCTCCCTCTCAGGGGAAGTCCGGGCTGTAAATGGAGAGGGGCCCCGATACTGACTGGCGTTGAGAGTCTGAGCACTGGGTCGTGGGGAGAAGTACCGACGTCAGGAGAACCGCCCAAGAAATGGTAAGAACCCAAATCCCTGGGGCCAGACGCTTGTGGGTTCAAAATAAAAATTATGTTTCTGTGAGTTCTGCTACTTTTAAAATTCCAACTTCCTGATGGAAACCCCTTGTAACCGCATCTTACCAGAATTAGCTAAAGAAGGGAAAAGGATCGGTCCTTAGGTGACCTGCCCGACCATACAATTGAGTGGTCCCAAAACAAGTCACGGAAGGAACAGTGGCCACCCCCTTGGAGACCTCCTGGGGCTTGGTGGGCTAGGTTAGCACTTGAAGTGGCCCGGCCCAGCTTGCTGAGGCGGCTCCGACTGCGCCGCCGCTGCCTCCTCCGTTGCTCCGTTAGAAGATCATTTGTAGCATCTGTACCATCTTGCCAGCACTCTCAATTCCTAGCTCCTTCGACGTTTTATCCCAGTCCCCTGGCAAATCGGTGATAAGGGCGCAATAGAACCACCCCCTGGAATAATACTTTCCTATATCTAAGCTCCCAGGACTGCTGGGGC